TTTGAACTACGAGAGTGCAAGAAAGCATATGAATGTGTGGTGCTCTGTGGGCCTTTTTGTTCACTTGATTAATTCCAAACAGTCCGACTGAGTTATTCATTTCAAAATTGGTCCCAGGCTGAGGCCCTGTCTACAGACCACATACGGCCTAGAGCTCATGTGGTCCCCTGGGCTTGGCTGGTGATGCTCCAAGGGCTGATGCTGGAGACGATGTATAGCCCCTGCTCCTGCAACTTCCAGAATTTGGCCAGATGGGACCTGGGCATGGTACTCTGGGGCCTAGGAGGTGACGGTGTAAGCATCTCTGCTTCTGGTCGGAGCTGGCCTATGATTTCCAACAGCTCTCATTTCTCAATTCCTGATTCAGGCTTCATCAACAAATTATTGGAACCACCTCCTGCCAGACTCCTTTCCTTTAGCCTTTGCCCTGTAGCCAGGGGGGCCTTTTATTTCCTTTTTTTCTTTTTTTCTTACAGTTTTTGGCCAGGGCCAGGTTTGGACCCGCCACCTCAGGTATATGGGGCTAGTGCCCTACTCCTTTGAGCCACAGATGCCGCCCAGGGAGGCCTTTTCAATATACAGATCTGTCCAAGTCATTCAGGGGCTTCTGTAGCCTCCAAGTTCTTCTGCTGGTGGGCAAGGGGTGCTCTTCATTCTCTGGGTCACCCAGCATCACCTTCCTTGCACACCCCTCAGAATCACCTGCCCCGCAAAACTCCATAGAACGCTTACAGACCTGTGCTTGTGCTGCATGGAATGTCTTCCCATCTTGTCCTTCTGCTGAATTCCTACTCATCCCTCAAGATACCTCAAATGTCTCTCTTCTCTAGGGCCTCCACTGGTCCCAGGCAGAGTTAGTCACCCCTTCCTGCAGGAGTTCCAAAACCCTGGGTATATTACAGCTCTACCTACTGTCCTGAAAAGATCTCTGAGTGGGATATTTTCATGATCAACTGGGGGCCAGGATGAGTGGGTGACAGGTGGTGAGGCCTAGAAAGGAATGAGAATAAGCAGCTTGGGGACACATCAGTGGGGACTTACACACAATTGCTGAGTGGGGCATGTGGTTCCAAGGGCCTTACAGACCTTATCTCCTTCCCTTGAATACTATGTGCATGAGATAGAGCCTCCAGCTGTTTTGTACATGGGGAACAGGAGATATTCAGAGGCCAAACAGTTTGCCTCAATTAGCACAGGCCTTTGGAACTGGCACCACCCACACGTGGGAGGATTGATGTAATACCAGAAGTCAGCCAGGTACAGTGGCATACAGAGAGGAATGGCAGGGCCCTGGGGAGTCCTCAGGGGTGTAGTCCACCCCACATGCTTGCCATTGCAAGGTCTGGCCACTCTGTGCTTCAGCTTCTCCATTTGCAAAATAGGCATGGACCACAAGGCACAAGGGTGGGACATGCTTTGAGATTGCGAAGTGCTACACCCATCTGGTTCCTGAGGTTTTCATCTGAACCAAGCTCACACTTTGTAAATGGGATGGGCTGGCAGAGCTGTGCTCACGCTGGTCCTGGGCAGCAGTCCCTCTGGCTATGCCCTGTTTCCTTCAGCTACAACTAGATAGGCACAGCACCTGGCCAGTGAAAGGGATCTGGATGTACTCTACGCCAGGGGTGTTTCTCTTCCTGATTCTAATGCTGGCAATGACACAGAGGTACAAATGAGGAATGGGAGAGAATGTGAAATGGAGAAATGGACTTCTTTCTTTTTTTTTTGAGACAGAGCCTCAAGCTGTCCCCCTGGGTAGAGTGCCATGGCATCACACTCACAGCAACCTCCAACTCCTGGGCTCAAGCGAATCTCCTGCCTCAGCCTCCCAAGCAGCTGGGACTACAGGCTCCCGCCACAACGCCTGGCCATTTTTTGGTGGCTGGTGCCTTAGCCGCTTGAGCCATAGGCGCCGAGCCCAAATTTCTTTAATAATACCAAGCTTTCTATTTATGAGATGACAAAGTCACCTTATCAACATAAATGCTAACTACTACCCCAAAATGTGAGTGCCATGTCCAAGGTTCTTTTATAGGTCCAAACTTTGATCACAATGTTCAGAGCTCACAATTATTCATGTGGTATTGATTCCATGATGTCTGCAGTCCCTGGACACATTGGAATCTGAAAACGCTTGTTTGGTGATTTCCTCTTTAAACTTTATGCTTACAATTCTAAACTCTACCAGCAGGTGGCAGTTAGTATGACACAAACTTCCCTATTTTTTTTTTTTGAGACAGAGCCTCAAGCTGCCCCCCTGGGTAGAGTGTTGTGGCATCTCAGGTCACAGCAACCTCCAACTCCTGGGCTCAAGTGAGTCTCCTGCCTCTGCCTCCCAAGTAGCTGGGACCACACAACGCCTGGCCATTTTTTGGTTGCAGCCATCATTGTTGTTTGGCGGGCCCAGGCTGGATTTGAACCCGCCACCTTAGGTGTATGTGGCTAGCACCTTAGCTGCTTGAGCCACAGGCACTGAGCCACAAACTTCCCTATTAAACTACTGGTAATTTAATCTCTAAGACTATACTTTTAATTAAAATATACCATAAATTAAAACAATATACATATATAGACACATATTTTAAAACTTACATTGGCATAGATTTAAAGGTATTATAGTACCCAGACTTGGCCAGAGTTTGGAGGGACATGCAATATGCATTCACTGTTGGTGGGAATGTAAATTAGTACAGCTTCCTGGAGGGCAATTTGGCAACAGACATCAAACCCTGAAACATGTGCAAAGCCCGTGGTGCAGCAGTGCAACTTCTAGATATTTATTTTAAGGAGATAATCATGGAAATAAGCCTACACTTCTTCCCAGGATGTTGACTATAAGGGTGAAAAATTGTCAATATAAATAATATAACTTGGAGACTAGTTAGATAAATTACATATATGATCAAATTCTATGTAGTTATTACATTCTACAAGAGTTTTTAACAATGTGTAAAAATCTCACAATACAGTAAAGTGAAAAAATAGGCTATAAAAATTGTGTCTAATGTAATCCCATGTTTATAACAATAAGTATATAACAAATTTGCATATCAGAATGCTAGAACAGTGACCAAAATATGAAGAAGTCTTGTCTGTCGAGGGTAGCATTATGGATTTCTTCTTCGTTGTGCTTTTCTGTATTGTCTGAATGTTTTACTCGAAACATGCTTTTGTTGTCTTCAGAAGAGTTCTATTCAGGAATGCTTGGGAGTAGAAAGGACTGGGGGCATGGACAAGGTGACTGTAACCTAATTCCTTCCTAGAAAGCTCCCGGCTCTGACCACCCCCTGCCCCAGCCCACACAGAGCCCTTCCCAGGCTCAGATTGAGGGGGCTGAACTTCCCATGTACAGTTTAATGGATTCCCTGTAGTCCTGTAAGACCCTGCAAGAGCAACACAGGTTTGTCCTAACTTGATGTATCACAGCTGTTCTCAGCCCAGGGGCTGTTCTGAAGCTGCACGGTGGGTGGGTGACAAAGGTGAAAATCAGCTCTGGCTACGTAATGCCACATCTGGCTTGTCACCCACCATCCCTACCCCCTGCCCTGTACTGGGAGGGAGAAGGTGGCCGAGAACAAGCCCTTTACCTGGAGAAATGACCCCTGGGTCACCAAGGACACAGAAATGGAGGAAGAGGGGAGAAAACTTCTCACCCAGTTACCACCCACTGTCCTCTGGACCAGGAAAAATACAGAAAGGAGTAACCTGCGGGTAAATATTAACAATGAGGCCATGCCAGGAGTGGTTCTGTTAGAAAGTCCCCAGTCCTTCCGAGTTGGTAAAACCAGCAGTCCTGAGGCTGAACTATTCCAATGAAGGCTAGTGGCTCCCCAACCAGCCAGGATATTGATGCCCAGAGCTTGGGGCTGCTCTGTCCAGGAATTGGGACCCTGAGTCCTGGCTCATCAGGACATAGAACTGGGGATGCTGTAGGGCCCTGTCCCAGTATGCTCCTGGGGATGAAGGTGGCCATGGCTGCATTTCACACTTCATTTCTATGTCTCAACAGGGCCGATGCTTCCCAGGCTGCCATTGCTGGGGGAGCTGCACAAGATATGTGTCCCCCAAACCTGGAGGGCTGGGCTCAGGCATGTTCTGTGCTTTCTGTGCAGCTGTCGCTTCCTCAGCCTCCTTTAATTCTAATTCCGATGCTGTGGGGGAGGCCTTCAACATCCCATTCACAGAGCAGAAAAGTGAAGCTCAGAGAGGGTGAGTGCCTTCTCCAGGGCCACCTGGCCAGGAGGCAGCCGAGTGCTCAGGGCTGGACTCCTCTCCTCAGCCTCCCATGAGGGCACCTCCTACAGGTCTGGGGCCCAGCCCCTCCACCTCAGCCTCCCTAACCCTGAGCAGACCTGGTCATTGAAAGGCCCCTAACCCAGCCAGCATTTCCCTCCCTGCAGTGTCCTGCCATGGAGGAATGGGACAAACCCACCCCCTCACGCGCCAAACTCTCCTTCCTCTGGGCTCACCCTGCTCTTTCTGATGTCATCCAGGATTTCCAAATGCTTCCAGCATTGCCCTCAACCTCCCCACAGGTCTTGCCAGTGGCACAGCCGCATCTTGTTTTGGCGTGGATGTGATGCTCACGCGTCCTGGGCTGGGGACATCCACACCAAGTGGATGAGCTAATTTTTGGTTAAATTGGCAAAGATCTGTGAAGAGATGACACTACAAAGGCCAGTCTCCTGTTCCTGAGTGGTGACATGACATGGCAGCTGGGATAGGAGCCCCTGCCCTGCCTGCCCAGCAGGCCCCCTACGGTCACGGCTGACCCTCTCACCCCTGTCAGGAAGTGGCAGTGTTGGTTTTTGGGCTCTTTGCTCTGTCTCAAGGGCAGCCCTAGAGGCCTGGGCAGCCTTGTCTTCAGGGAGCTCATGATAATCCTGCCATAGAAAGGCCACAGCTATGAGGACAGAAGAGGTAGGAGCACAGAGAGAATGGAAAAGAATATTGGCTTCAGACGAAAGGACAGATAGAGCAAAATATAAATGACAAATTACCGGGTAGCCATCTCGTCCTGATTGCCCCTGTGGTAATTAATACGTCATTAATAATCAGACTTTCGGCAGAAAACCATATGGCAACACTTAGAACTCAACCAGGGCCCCGGATAACCCCCACGTTCTGTGTGGTTTGCAGCAGAGGTTACTGGCTGGGAACTCACTCTTTAGCAGGAGAACACAAGGCTTTGGTGGGTCCAGGGGACACAGCCCCCTTTTCCTGTCTTAGAGGGACAAGCTGCTGGGGTTTCCAGGCACATACCCATGCCGTCCTCCCACTGTCACCGGGGCACAGGCGAACACTACCTGGGGAAGTAGGTCTGCAGGGCGGAGGGTCAGACCAAGAAACGAGATATTCCTTAAATGGGGCCTGCACAGGGCCCTAGACAAGATCCTTGTTCCCTCCTAGTTGTCACTGGTACGTGATGAACAGAGAAAGAAGCTGGAGCTAAGGGGACATTTCTTGCTACTGGATGTTTCTGGATCCCCTAACATGGACCCTGCTTAGGCTGAAGATTGAGAACGTCTGTGTTTGTTTAATATCTTTAAAGTACCTTTTTTCCCCATAGATAAGTTAAAAAAAATACATTCTGCAGCCCTCTGTGTTACATACTTTAGCAAGTTCACACAAGCTAGCCTCCCAGGGACTGCCAGGGATAGCTTGGCAGAGAAACATTGCTGGGGCCAATAAATTGCACATTTCTGTTGGATTGCCTTTCGGCTCAGTGTGGGGCTACATGCACCAAGCAGCCCAGATTCCGGAAGGTACTGATCAGGAAATGAATCATGGTAAGTGGAAGTCAAAAATAAAATGGCTCATCGGAAAGGAATTCCTTGAGAGGTTGATTTTGGCTCAGGCCAACTGTCAATGTGCTTCTTGAATGGATTCATTGGGATTTACTGGGCTCTGAAAAACTGCCAAGGTGAATCAAAGGCAGACACTTCCCGTGCCCTGGGGAACGAATGGGATTTCCAGGGTCACTTGAAATCTTCCTGCAATCAAAATGCTGCCTCTGGCCAGCCAAGGGAAGTTCAGGGGAGCTGCCCAGGGCTTCCCCTCACACCTTTTGAAAGCGAATGCATGGAAGTTTTCCCTCTGTGCCATCCCAAACCCCTCACCAGCCAGGTAAACTCAGAAGGTCTCAGCTGTCTAATCCATATTCTGGCAAAGAAGAAAAAGGGACCTTCAGGGTCCCAACTTATTCCTTACTCTAAAGTCCTTTTTGCCAACATACACGAGACAAAACCCCTTAAAAATATCAATTGCCACAGAGCATTTCAAACCACAGCATGGTGCCGGCATCTCTGCCCACCAAGTTGAGCCAAAGCTTTGGTGAGGCGCAGCCAGCTCTGTTGGAAGGAAAATGGTCACAGAATGTTTCAGGGCAAGTCAGGCCTGTGGAAATCAGTGCTTGATTCATCTACAAATTGAAAAATATTAATAATATGGCCTCTGTCTAGGACTGATTTTTTAAAGGACACATCCTTCTAACCAAAAATTATTTTCACAGAAGTGCTACAGAGAAAATACCAAATGTCTTATCTTTCAGGAGCAGAGAGGATAGTCCAGGACACTTACTGGAGGACCTGCAAAACACAAGCAGAGAAGTCACAGTCAGCATCGAAGGGACAGTGGGTCACCTCACCTGTCTTCACCAGCTCTTGGCCACCTCTCTTTATAAGCCTTTGATGCCCTCATGGCTATCTCCTGACACAGCCTTGCAAATAAGTGTCAGCCCCAAAGCCAAGGGCAGAGAAGCAGGAGCTCCTTTGCCCTTGGAGGGGCCAAGGGTCATGGGGGTAGCAATGACAATTCTCACATGTATTGGCTTATGCACCCATTTTACCAGGGTGTGCAGTGCTCACCCATTTTGGGTTCTGGCAACTCAGATAAGAATCAGACCTCATCTTATTTGAAGAACAAGTTCTGGTGCTCACCAGGGGTTGGTCCATTTCCACAGAGGGGGAGAGACTTAGGGGATCAAACATTTTGGGCAGAGGGAAGAATGTAAGTAAGGGCATGCAGACATGTGTGGCCGAGCAGACAGGGGGGGCCCGAGGTCCAGCCTGGGGTTAGGTGTGCATGGGAAATGGAAGGGGAGAGTCTGGAGGCACCAGTGGAGCTGCCGCTGAGACTGTTCCACCAGACGAGGGTTCTTGGAGAACACTTACAAGAACCCCACAGGGGCTTCACCTTGCAGTTTGCAAAGTATGTCGCACACCCATTTATTGCATTTGACCTTCCCAACAATCTTTTGTAAGAGGTATGATGAACATCTCCATTCAACAGCTAACAACACAGAGGTGCCAAGAGAAGTGATTTGTCCACGGCCACATCATTGGTTAGGGGTGGAGCTCACCCTGGAAGGAGTTCTCCCAACTCTCCCACCCAGTGAACTTAACCTAAGCCATGTCACTGTCAACCAGTAACTGCTGTGGCTCATTAGACCCCAAACCTCTCTCTGGAGGATGAGGCCAGCACTTAGAGGCAGCACTCAGCAGGCAGGGTATTTATGGATTGCCAGCTGGGACCTGGGGGCAGGTAAGGGAAACTAGTAGCGAGTACAAGTGGCAAGATCCCTGACTCATGGAACCTCTATTAAGCAGATAGATACAGAAGAAAACAATCACATGGGGGAAGAAGCACGGGGGAAGAAGTCCCTCCAAGCACATTTTGAGGGACTTAACCCAGGCTGGGCTGACACAGGAAGAGAGGACAGGCCAAGTCTGGCAGGGGAGAGAGAACTAATTATCTGGGGTGGAATGCTGGAGATGAAAAGCTCAGGACATGCCAAAATCAAGGGCTCTTGAGCAGCTAGGAGATGTATGGCAAAAGGGAGGGCCAGCCAGGCACAGGGCCTTGTCTCACTTTATGGTCTGCAGGGCTTGCCTGGTCCTCAGGACCGTGGAAGGGCAAGAGAGGACTCAGAGAATGCACTGTAGGTGTCCCCATGCAGGTGCTGGTGTCCTGGGTGGGGGTGATGGTGTGCCCTGGGTGGGGATATGGGAGAGTCAGGAGCGGCTGGTCAGAGAGAAGAGACGGGGCTTGCTGGCAATCTAATGGTGGGTGAGTGGCCTATGGGAGATGACAAGGATTTTTGGCTTAAAACACTGATGTACTCATACCCAGGAATGGTGACATGGGAGGACAGTGATTTCTCTACTACATTAGTCTAGGGCACAGAGCAGGGTGTTGGCAACTTGGAGACCCTACACAGCTGACTCCTCAATTTTAGCCAAGGACTTTGATCTCTATTTTCTAAAGAAAACAAATGCCATCTGACAGACTCACCACCACCTCTCCAATGCTAGTCATATGCCCCTACCCTTGTGCCCACACCCATCCTTCTCTGTGTGAGCCTCTGGTTAACTCAGAGGAATTGACCCACTTCCAATTAAGCCTGCCTCCCTGGACCTTTGCTGGAGCCCAGCACTGCCCTCCATTCCCTCTGTTCATCATGGTGAAGCTCTCTCTCACGGGATCCTTCCCAATAGCTCTGAAATGTGCTCTATTTGCCCTGATGACAAAGCCGTCCCTTGGTCCCATACCCCCTTGTGATATCGTCCTGTTTCTGCTCTCTCCCTCACAGCCAGAAAGAGGTGTCTTCTCTCCCTGTCCCTGACCCCTCATCTCCCACAGTGCCTCTGATTTGAACCCCATCCCTGTCTCTCCACCCAGACAGCTCCCACCAAGGTCTCCATGAGCTGCCTCCAGGCAAGAAACCAAACTTCTCATTTTCTTTGCCCTCCTGGCAGTGTTCTTGCTGCTGACTAGGCCCTCCTTTCTGAAGTGCTGTCTTCCTTTGGCCTCCTCACAACATACCACATTCCTCTCACCTGCCTGGTCTTTCTTTTTTCTAGTGGACTCAGTCTCCCCAGCCAGCCTTTGCAGGCAGAGGTTCCTCAAGACTCGCGTCTGGGCTCTCTTCTGTTCAATTTTCTTCTTGTCCATCCGTGCTCTGCTCCTGTCTTCCTGAAGGACTTCATCCCCACTCAGAGCTGCTCCATGCAGAAGAGTTCCTTCCCTCTGGCTCTCTCTAGGCCAGGTTGTGCCTTGGAGCCCCAGGCTTCCTCTCCCAGCTGCCTCCTCAGCAGTCCCTTGAAATAATTCTAATACTCCAATGAAGTCCGCAGATGCACGTATGATCTTCTGTCCACAAACTTGCTCTTCTCCCCTAGGTTCTTGTCTCTGCAAATGATTTCACCTTCCATCCAGCTGTGTGAATCGGAAAATAGGGAGCCATCCTCGACATACTGACACTCCTCTCCTCCCCCATCTATTAGTGCATCCATCTCACTTCTTGCTCTGAAATCCCCCCATTTCTCCCTCTCCAATACCACAGCCATAGTCTGTGTTAGTGCCATCTCTAGGCTGCTTCAACGACTTCCTGACTTGCCTGTCCCCTCTTTACTACCTCACAGATACTCTTTGAGCACTTGCCCTACGCCAGACACTGTTCTAGGCACTTGGAGTACATCAGTGAAAATAACAAAGATCCCTGTCTTGACAGAGGCTACCTTCTAGAGAGAGAGACAGAAGAGATACAGTAAGTGTAACAAATCAGCAAGTCACCTGGCAATGACTAGAGTCACAGGCAGAGTAGAGGAGCTGTTAGTGCTGGACTGGCATGTTCAATAGGGCAGTCAGGGTAGATGCCACTGACATGACATTTGAACAAAGTCTCAAAAGAAGTGTGGGGCTTGGCTGTGCAGATTTCTGGGACAACTACTGCCAGGCAGAGGGAAACACCCGGGGTAAAGACCCTGGGATGGAAGGGTGCTGGTGTGTAAAGGACAGTAACAGGCCAGAGAAATGCGGGAGGTGGCTTTAGAAAGGTAATGGTGGGGCCTTGTTGGCCATTCGTTTCTTTTTTTTTTTTTTTGAGACAGAGTCTCACTATGTCGCCCTTGGTAGAGTACTGAGGTGTCATAGCTAACAGCAACCTCAAACTCTTGGGCTTAAGCGGTTCTCTTGCCTCAGTCTCCCAAGTAGCTGGGACTACAGGAGCCCACCACAATGACTGGCTATTTTTCTGTTGCAGTTGTCATTACTGCTTAGCTGGGCTGGGCCAGGTTCGAACCTGCCAGCCTCAATATATATGGCCAGCGCTGTAAACACTGTGCTATGGGTGCTGAGCCTCATTGGCCATTCTTGTCACTCTATCTTTTCTTTGAGATGGGAGCCCTTGTAGGGATTTGGGCTGAGAGAGGACATGACCTGGCTCAGGTTTCAAAGGTCCTGCTGTGGGGGCAGTGATGCCTGCCGGTGATAGTGGCTCAGAGCGGGTGGTCAAGGGTGATGGGAATAGTTGGATTCTGGGTTGATTCTGATGGTAGAGCCAAGATGATTTCCTTCTGACAGCATGTGGGATTGAGAGGTGTGGGTTTCTGAGAAGGTCTGTCACAAAGGGGAGCAAAGGAACAGGGCAGTTGCTTTGGGTGGCATAGGGTGAGTGTTTCTGTGAGAGGAGAGGTGCTGGAGCACATTTGCAGAATGGAGTCTTCTCACAGGGAGGGGAGATAGAGCCACCAGAGAAGGAGATTCCTGGAGCAGCATTCCTGGGGAGCAGATAGGGGCTGGACCCTATCTCTAAGAAAAAAAAAGAAAAGGAAAAAAATTAATCACACATGATGGTATGCACCTGTAGTCCAAGGTACTACAGGTGCCTACCATCATGCCTGGCTAATTTCTTCAACAAGGATCACTTGAACTCCAGAGTTTGAGGCTACAGTGAACTATGAGTCATCACTGCACTCCAGACTGGGTAACAGAGTGAGATCTGTCTCTAAAAATAAACAAACAAATAAATAAATAAATTAAAAGTAATTATAAAGATGTATTTCTGGGATCGCAGTATTATTCCATTAACCTATATGTCTGTCCTTATGCCAGTACCACACTACCTCGATTATTGTAATCTTATATTAAGTGTTTTTTTTTGAGACAGAGCCTCAAGCTGTCCCCCTAGGTAGAGTACCGTGGCATCACAGCTCACAACAACCTCCATCTCCTGGGCTCAAGCAAATCTCCTGCCTCAGCCTCCCAAGTAGCTGAAACCACAGGCACCTGCCACAATGCATGGCTCTTTTTTGGTTGCAGCTATCATTGTTGTTTGGCGGCCCAGGCTGTATTTGAACCCGCCGCCTTAGGTGTATGTGGCTGGTGCCTTAGCCACTTGAGCTACAGGTGCTGAGCCAATATTAACATTACAAAGTGTGAGTCCTTTGCTTTTCTTTTTCAAGTGTTTTGGCTATGCTGGATTGCTTGCATTTCCATATGCATTTTAGGATGAATTTGTCAATTTCTGAAGAAAACCCACCTTGAATTTTGGTATGGATTGCACTGTATGTGTAGATCAATTTGTGGAGTACCGTCATCTCATGTTAAGCCTTACAATCCAGGAACATGGGATGTTTCCCAGTATTTAGGTATTCTTTAATTTCATTTAATAATGTTTTATAGATTTCATTGTATAAAGTTTTGCACTTCTTTTGTTAAATTAATTCCTAAGTATTTTATTTTTCTTCATGTCTTTGTAAATGGAACTGTTTTCTTCATTGCTAACATATAGGCATACAATTGATTT